CTGGACTGGATCCACTGGAGCCTGAATCCATGGGTGCTGGGGTAGGCCTGGAGACTATAGCCACAGGAGCTGGGCTGGTGCAGGGGCAGGCCTGGAGTTTGGGGCCATGGGGGTTGGCCTGGAGGCTGGGTCTGAAGGTGCTGGCCTGGTGCCTGGCGCCTCGGGGGCCAGTCTGGCACTGGAGCAGGCCTGGAGCCTGAACCACAGGGATAGATTCTTGATTCTTGATAGCATTCATATAGCATCCATATTTTTTCCAGAATTATTTGGCTTCCCTGTGATTTTTTTAAATCCAGTCTTTCTTACCTACACTAAAAGGAAAACACACACACACACACACACACACAGACACACACACACACACAGACATACACACACACACACTGTTGATGCTCATTATTCATGATTCCATATTTCTGAATTTGCCTATTTGCTAAAATATATTTGTAACCCCTGAATCAGTACTTTCACAGTTATTCCCAGAATGTGCAGAGAGAGCAGTGAGAAATTTGAGTTGCCAACATGCACATCCCCAACTGAGTTCAAACAAGGTAATCTCTTATGTATTTTTTCAGCTCTCCTTCTAGATACAGTGTCCTTTTTGTGGTCTCTTTAATGCCAGTTTCCCTCTCGACCTCCCCTGTTTTGTACTTTTCATTGGTGATTTTGTTGTTTAAAATGACCCCTAATTTTGTAGTACTGAAGCGTTGTCTATTATTCATTCCTAAGCCCACAGAGAAAATACATGTGTTAGATAAGATGCTTTCAGGCATGAGTTATGTTGGCTGTGAGCTCAATGTTAATGAACCAACAATGTAAAATAAATAAGGTGTCTTTAAACAGAAACACATATAAAGCAAGGTTATGTATTGATGGGTTGATGAAAATGCTGTGACCAGAGGCTCAGAGGAGCCTAATGTTGTATTTCTCCTAGGAGCAAAGGTACGATGTTTGCTAATTTAGTGTTTACAGTGACTTTTAGAACTTAACTACCAAGAAAAATGAGAATTGACTACATATGACATGAAATTTTATATTCATTTATATAAGTAAAACAATAATTACATATAACATTAACAAAAGAAGGAGCTGATATTTACTGAACAATTTCTATAGCAAGAAACTCAAGTATTTTACATTATCCCATTTTGTTACCTCCTTTAGGCACTATGATTTCTCCCACTATACAGTTGAAAAAACTGAGGTTTAGAGTCTTGTGCAAATCATACAGCTGTGAGTGGTGGGTACCAGAGTAGTCTGATTCCAGGGCCCTCCTCAAGAACCAACAGTTCTGCTTCTTTAAATTGATTAAATTGATTTGTTGATTTAATCAATCAAGCAGTGTTAGACTTGTAGTAGGAGCTGGAGACAATGACTGAACATGATAGCTCTGGCCCTTGTGGAACCTACACTAGTGAGGATAAGGCGAGGAAATAGGTGTTATGCAAGCTCATAGCAGGGCACCTAATCAAAGCTAAGGAAATGTATACTTAAGAAAATAATATCTAAGTTAATCCTCAGATTCTATGGGAGCTTGCCAGTTAAAGAGGTGAGGGAGTAGAAATCAACACATGAAGGTCGCTCTAGGGCAACCCAAATAAGTCTACCTCAAGGGGTAAAAGAAATTTCTCTCTCTCTCTCTCTCTCTCTCTCTCTCTCTCTCTCTCTCTCTCTCTCTCTTTACATTGTATTAAGTGTCAACAGTATCGTGGATTATGAACTTGAAAATAACTTCCTGGATTAACTGGCATCTTCCATTTCTTTGTAAACTACACTGACTGCCACTAAAGCCCATGCAGCTAACAGGATACATCTTCGTGAATGTCTGCTTGATTTTGCCCTCACCAGTTGGTTTATGTGTGTGCTGAAAGTCAGTTATGTTTGCTAACAAATTGGTTTTTGCCAATTTATGTGTTATATGAAAGGATGAATTATAAATTCGGAAAGGTACTTTTCTATGAAAACTAGGTTTAATACTAAGTGAGTTAAATTGTAAAAATATAGGAAAATCGAAAATAAAGGATTTGGCCCTCATTGCTTGTCAAAATCTTTAAGAACTTTCACTTAAACTAAAACTGCAAATCATAGGGATGCATTATAATTGTTATTTATGATTCAAACCCTAGGATGTGGTTAGAGAATAAAAAAAATTCTTGGTCATATATCAAAAGATTGATAAGTGAATATACATTTACTTATTTAAGGAAAAATAAGCAGTGTAAAATATATTTAAGATATATTAATTTTTATGTCTCTTACCAACTTTTTTGATTCACCAATTACTAGCCCGGATTGTATAAGATAGTATGGCTTATGTTTAGTGCACAGAAGTTAAGCATAAGCTATATGAGCAATGGGCATTTAAAAATCATCTAAAAAAACATCTAGACAAAAATCTCTTTCAACAGTTACCACTATTGAGAGATTTGATGTTCATCCTCTACTGGGGATTATAGAATCAGATGCATGTCTTTAGAAGGTCAGCTTCTAATATACTAACAAGACTGGGCCACCATGACAGGATGACAAAAATCCTGGCAGCATTCCATTCCTCTTGATCTGCCAGTCAGGTTTTTGGAGCCATTTTCATTTTTTCCTTTCTTGTCTCCAGGAGTAGAGGTAAATTGGGAGAAAATGCAACAAAAACTGCTTGATGAGACTAACAAAGGCTCTGTATTCAGCTTTCCCTCAATAGCTCCTGCTCACTCAGGGAAGCAAAGCCATGACAGAATAACGGTGCTTAATGTGGGGGCCTCACTTTGGCATTTATTTTTCAAATAATTCTGAGCCCACATAGTTTAATGGGCCTAAAAAAATCACTAAAAAAAAAAAAAAAAAAAAAGGCGATACAAGCTCATGGTAAAAATTCCAAACAGTGCAGAAAGGTAAAGTTACCCATAATTAGTGTATCTTTGAGCAAGTCAGTAGCCTCTCTGATCTTTATTGTGTCCATTTGATAAATAAGATAATGAGAGCTAATTTATAGGATTGCTCTGAGAATTCATTGGGAGGAGCACACATAAGAATGGTGACAGTGGGGACATGGTTCCATAGTGTAGCAGTTAGCACGTCGGCTTTACACGCAGAAGGTCCTGGGTTTGCGCCCCAGTGGAGCCATGGTCCATGATCTATGGGCATACTACCCCGAACAAGCCTGATGTCTGATCTCGGAAGCTAAGCAGGGTCAGGCTTGGTTAGTACTTGGATGGGAGACCACCTAGGAAGACCAGGTGCTGTAGGCATAAATAATAATTAAAAAAGAATAATAAAAAAAAGTGGTGACAGTGGAAAGAGACTGTCCAGTCAATCAAATCAGCTAAATCAACTATGATGGTAAGTGATGTGATGTCATAGATCACATTTATATTATACTGCGAGATGTCGCAGGAGCACTCCAAATGCAAAGAGATTACAACTGGACAAACCATGGCTTATCACCTATACTGCATTCTGTATTATCATTTAATCTTGACAATGTCATAAGCAGCCACCAATGATCTCGTCTGTCAGTTTGGGTGTCATATTGGACATACCCATCTCTCTCCTTCCTTCCTCACCCAAACACTCAATCATATTTCTGTTGATTCTAGTCCTAAATGCTGAATCCCCACTCCTCTCTTCAGTCTCACACACTTACGGCTTCACCTCATGGGCTTTGGCAAACACCTCTACGCTGGCCTCTTCTCTCATCTATCCCTCTGTAATCCATCCTCCATACTGATAGCAAAGAAATCCTTCTAAAATGCAGTCTGGTAGCAACTCCCCTGATGAATTTCACTATTTCATAATCACTTGCAGTGTAAATTTCAATTTCCTTATATAGCATCCAGGATTATTACAGGAGTTAACATATATAAAACACTTGAACAGTGCCTGGCACACAGTAAATAGTTCAGAAGTGTTTGCTGTTATTTTTTTAATGGCCTGATCTCCACTTTCCTATCAGTCTAAAATACTGTCCTCTGTCACAGTCATTGCTTACAGTTTTCCAAGAACATTGTGCTTTAAACACATCTGGGTTTTGTGCACACGCATGCGCGCACACACCCACCCACACCTCTCCTATCTATGTGTGGAACACGTATCCTGTTATAAACCCCACCTCTCCCAATATTTCATAGCCGGGTTGCATACACCACACAGTTATATTCTCCCAGTTCAGTGCAACCTGTGCACATTGTAGTGTTTCTTTAGTGGCAACCACCAGACTGGATTATAATATGCTTTCATGTGCCTCTGCCCTAACAAATAGTGAGCTCCTAGAATACAAAGCTTGTATCTTGCTTATTCCAACACCTGACTAAATGCTGGCGCATAATTAGCACCTAGTACTCATTTAGCAAAATACTTTTTGAACAAATCAAGTGTAGGCTACAATTAGACAAAATGTAATTTAAAATATTTCATAATATAGACAGAAGTTCCCACTTGAGCAGAAAAAGAAAGTTTAGTAAAAACCTGGACAGTCGCAGTTTAATTTCTAGCTAATCAGTGATGGCCGTGATGCTAAAGGGTCAGGCTTGGTTAGTACTTGGATGGGAGACCACCTAGGAAGACCAGGTGCTGTAGGCATAAATAATAATTAAAAAAGAATAATAAAAAAAAGTGGTGACAGTGGAAAGTCTATATATGGTTAAGAGACTCTGACTTTTTGATCTCCTGGTACTGCGTTAAGTATTGTAGGAAGAGAATCAATATATCACCTTCTCCTCTACTTTGGGATCAGGTGGGGGTAATTTTATTCCACTTTCTGCAAAATTTCCCGGGGCCTTGGTAGGGGCTGGAGAATATGAAGGTCTACCAGCCCGCAGAAAGACTTTCCTTTCCTGTTTGCCCTCGGAGGCCATCACCGGGTACAGCGCCCAGCGCAGAGCCGAGCACGTCCGCTAGGAGCAGCCGGGACGCAGGTGACAGCAAAGCTCCAGCCAGGGGCTCCCAGGTCGCCTCGCCCCTCCCCGCGCATCACGTGCGCGAGGATGCTAACTTCCCCCCTCCTCCTCTTGCTTCCCCCGGCCTCCCGGCCTCCTCCTCCTGCTGGTGAGAGAGTGTGAGAGGCAGACGGCGAGAGGGAGCAGCTAGCGGGCACTGCCGGAGCCCGCAGCCCTGGCGCCCGCCGCCGACCGGATCCCCGCAATATGCCGCCGCAGCCCTCTGGCTCTCGGCCATGGCGAGGCTCAGCCGGCGCGTCCCTTGCACCCTGCTCCTTGGCCTGGCCGCGGTGCTGCTGAAGGCGCGGCTGGTCCCCGCGGCCGCCAGAGCAGAGCTCAGCCGCTCGGATCTCAGCCTCATCCAGCAGCAACAGCAGCAACAGCAGCAAAGGCAGCGGGAGGAGGCTGAGGAGCAGAAGGCAGAGGTGCCTGGGGCATCCTCCACCGTCACTGTTCCAGGTAGGTCACGACAGCCGGGCCCTGCATTTCCATCTCCGCTGGCGATCTCATCTGGAGTCGCTGGCTTCCTCGCCCCTTCCCTAGCCAAATTGCTTCCCATGGCCTATCCCACCCATCCCCATCTTCCCAATCTCTCAGTCCAGGACTCGGGCTCTGTTTTGATTTCGGGGTATCTGCCCTATGGGTGGGAAGGTTTCTGAGAAGCACAGAGCACTGCAGTAGGATGGGGAGGGGGCGGGAGGGTTAGGGGTGAGTGACTGCCTCGACTGATATTTTTCTTGTTCCTTCTTCCTGAATTCTTCTTCTCTCTGCCCCCGACCACACACACACACACACACACACACACACACACACACACACACACACACACACACACACACACACACACACACACACACACACACACACACACACACACACACACACTTCTCAAATCCCTCTAGTATTCTGTTTTTTATCCTTTTCTAAAGACTGAAAAATCTTGCAATATACACCCACACACCCTTTTCACCATCTCACTCCGCCTGCCTGCTATATTTAAAATTAGATGTGGAGAAAGAAATCTTGATTTGTTATTTATTTTTACCTCTTCTTATCTCGGGAAAGGTTTAAGGCAGTTTGCAAGAATGCCTTCAGTATAATAAGATGTAACAATACAAAATGAAAAAGGAGTTTGTAATTGAAGGAAAAGGAGAGGGATAAAGATGAAGTCAGAGCAGTGATGTTAGTACAGCAAAGCCTGCCCCCCAGAGACGGGAATCTCCCTACTTGTTAGTGGAACTTAATGAGGCAGATTCTTGACACTGTTCTGTGAGGGTGAGGAAGTACGCTATAGTATATGTGGCTGTTATGGTCGCTCAGTCCATGCCACATTCTACCCCCATTAAAAGCTCACGAGTAAGCAAAAAGCAAAAAAGCCAGATTATCCATTTTAATAGCCTCTTCCCACCCCTCATCCCAGTTCCCTTCCCTAATGTCTACGCTGGCCTGCTATTGGGGAGGGGGGGGTGGGGAGGTAGAAGCCATCAATTTGCTGGCGAATGGGCTTAGGTTTCTGCAAAACCAACGTGAATTATAACATTTGTTTTTGTTCTGAAATCCCGCCTAGAGGATTTTACAAGATGCTGAAAATGAGATTTTAAAGAGTGGAATCAGCATCTTATTTTGTATTGCTTGCTCATCATCAAAGAGCAATACTCAGGCATGCCAGCTGCGATTCATGACACAGCCAGGATGATTTAATTTATCAGAGTGCTCTGAGCAAAGAATGAAGTCACTAAAGTGTGCAGGAAAGCATGTGTTTCTGCCGCTCTTTTAAAATAATTAACAACACTCATGTATGGATACAAATCCTAAAAGGTATGTGGTATGTGGTGGTTTTCCTACCTTGGTTTTTATAACCGAAAGTGCTAACAATGTGGTTTAGGCAAGGCTGCTTTTAGACATATGCTGCTGCTGCTGCTAAACTTAAGGAAATTAGAGATGGCAGAGTGATTGAGAACCTGTCTTCGTTATGGCAGGGATTTCATAAATTAACTAAAAAACAGAAGTTGGTGTTGATGGATTTTATGGTTTGCAATATATTTTTATTTCGATTTATCGTCTTTCAAGAATATTAGTTAAATGGTTTTCACTACACTATAGACAACATTGTAATGAGGGTTATAATAACTGCAATAATATGAAATCTTGTATATAGTGTGCACATATAGTGTGCAAAAATATTTGCTGATATTTGTCAGGGGATATTTTTTAAAGGGATGGTTTTTGGGAAACTAAGTTTTTTTTCTTATTTACCTATTAGATTAATTGAGATAAAGGAACCACTATCTAATAGATCAGCTTAACAGCCTGAAAAGAAACATATAATGACTCTTTCTCTCAAAATCTCTAGCTCCTCAAGCCAGTGGCAATTAAGAGAATAATCAGTTGATTGCTGTTTCAGTTATTGGAAAATCTTGTTTAGATATTGGAAAATCTAATTGTATAATGAAACATAACCTATAAACAAATGAAGTTAAAATAATCCTTTGACTGCATTGTGATTTCTAGATTGAACTAGTCTTCCTGCTTTAACCTTGTTCCTCTATTTTCTATTCTCCTTATATAGCAAGTGATCTTTTCAAAAACATTAAATAGAATCATTTCTGCTCACAGTCCTCCAATGGCTTCCCATCCTTCTCACACTAGATGCCCAGATCCTGAAAATGGCCTGTCTGCCCCTCCCTTTCCCATCTCTCACAGCTCTGATCCTCATTCTATGGTAGCCACACTGGCTCTCTGTTTCCTCAGTTTGCAAGTAGGCTCTAGTATGGAGCCTTTGCACTTGTCATTTTCTCTGCCTAGAATTCTAGAACTTCACATCCTTTAGGTTTACTCACTAGAACTGGGAAGCCTTTCCTGACCAGCTACATGAAATTAGTCATTTGCAATGCCCTTCCATAGTGATTCTTCTCCATGGCACTTAGTATTCTCAGCCCTTCCTATAAGCCTGTCTCCCCTTACTAGAATGTAAGCTCTATGAGGGCATAAATTTTGTTTTGTTCACTATTATATTAAATTATATAGTTCTAATATCTAGAAGATCACCTGTTATGCGTAGGCACCCATAGGATTGTTGAATGAATGAATGAACAAAAATGCTAGCATCAAGGATCACTTTCGCTTTCTTAGTATTTGTTCTATAACATCTTGTGAAATTCTTTATTGAAATTTAGCAGGGGAACAATACAAAATAAAAAAAATGTTAGGTAGAACTATTTGTAAGTAGAGGTTATAAAGTATATAAATTTTGGATCTTTAATATTAGCTAATTTCAGTGTTTATTTTATACTGACTATGGAGAACTGATTGATACCAACACCAGAGTCCAACTATTAGGTTCTGTCAAGAAGATTCTCTACCCAAGTGTGCTTGTAATCCTCTTATGACCTAGGAAGGTATTAACATATCTTTAAATAGCTGTGATTGAGCCTGAGTTCATTCTTTGCCTCTGTATAGTGTTCTGATTCTTTGGACATATTATATGAAAAACTATAGGACTTTTCTCAGGCAAAAGCTAGAAAACTAATAAATGCATTTAGTGACTAGTATGTGCAAAGAATATCAGTACACAGTAGAGAAATTGACCATTGACTTTTGTTAATATTCTCTGCATTTTATGCTGAACATTTATGTCTCTTTGTATTACTGAGATATAACACGAGGGTAAAGTTGAATACGAGATTTTAAAAATCAGGATTTATAAACAGTAAATTTACATTTTCTTATTAACTTATAAAACACCATCTTCAGAGAGTAATGAGAATAAAGACTAAGGTTCAGATCTGTCAAATCAGTTGTTTTTCTCCAGTGTATGCAGCAGCTCTGATTTCTCCATCTGTCCCAGTGTTTGTTAGAAATAAATATTTGAGGGGCCAGGGAAGAATTAATTTGGGGGCTGGTGGTAGCTGAGACAAGCATATCAATATTCATTCGGATGGGGCATTAGATGGGAGGCATGCTGGGGGTGGGGAGCTGGAGAAAATAATGAGCTCCATTTCAAATTCTCCACATGAAGGGTAGACACAGGGGATCTCCATGGATTTTAATAAATGTCTCCTGCACACAGAAAAAGCTTTTTAGAGGCATATTGTCATGGTATAAAATTTTTGCTAGTAGATTTCACTGATATATATTTTTAAACTTTTTATTTTGGAAAATGTCAAATATGTAGAAAGTAAATAGAGTAGTATTTGAAAAGTCCATACCCATCACCCAGCTTTAACAATGATCAAATTCTGCTGTAATTGTTTCATCCACACCTCTACCCATTTCCACTTTTATTTCTTTGATGTAAAATGTACGTACATTGAAATGTGCATGCCTTAACTGTACTATTTTGACAAATGGATATGCCCGTGTAACCATCATCCCTATCAAGATATAGAACATTTATATCACCCTAGAAAGTGCCCTCATGCCTCTTTCCCAAGCAATTCCTGCCCCTTACCCAGACAACTACTATTCTGATTGTTTTCATCATAGATTAATTTTGAATTTTCTAGATCTTCATGAAATCATATAGCATGTACTCACTTTGTCTAGCTTCTTTAGCTTAGTCTAATTTCCATAGGGTTTCTTCTATGTTGTTACATGTTCAGTAGTTTACTCCTTTTTACTGCTGAGTAGTGTTTTATTGTATGAAGTCCCACTGTCTGGTTTATCACTTCTGTTGATGGATATTTGGGTTGCTTCCAGTTTTAGGTATTGTATATGGAGCTGCTATATTTTCGTACAAATTTTTGTGTGGACATGTCTTCATATCTCTTGAGTGGAACTAGAGTTTCTTTTTGGAGGAGTGTAATTGCTGGGTCAAGTGGTATACTTTTGAAGTTAAAAAAAATATTTTTTCATATTCTATGTAACTGGAACCTACCTCACTTAATAAAATTTAACCTAATGAACTTTGATATATATTATTACTGCATGCTTTTTATTAAATTCAAATAACTTGATTTAAACAAACCTGATTGAAATCTTCCATCTATGAAAGCATTTTTTATTTGCTTTTTTGGTTCAAGAAATTTGAAAATCAATAAGAGAAGTGGGATTGGAAATCTCATCTATCTAAAGTACTCATGCTTAAAAGGCCATATTCCCAGATGGGGCAATTATGATTTCTTTCCAAAGATTTTAATAACTAAAGGGAGCTGTTTCTTGGTGTTGATTACAGGTTGAACAACACATGCTATTGTGTTGAATTTGAGTCCAGTTTGTTTTAGTTGTAATTTTTCAGTGTTCTTAATGTGACTGAACAGAACCTACCAAATATTTTT